GAAATCCTTGATATCATTCTTGAGTATGGAGAATCGAAGAGATGAAGTTGGTGTTTTATCACTTGAATTATAGGTCATTTTCATGATGAACACAAATACAAATCAATGTTAGGCTGCATAATATTTTATTTGCAGACCTCAAACTTGTTTGTCACTCCATAATTAATGGATTACACAAACGTTTGAGCTATAATCCAATTGATTTAAGCTTTATCCAATTCACATTGCCATTTTGGGAAGAAAGCTAACAATACCATTCTTGAAAAGCAAGCTTTATGCATAAAGTCCACTCTTGAGCCTCTAACTTGTTCCCTCTAATCACACTTCATCAAAAAAGTCAAAAGCAAGTGTATTTAAAGCATAACCACTCTATCTTAGCAAGTACACAAGGCATTGAAACTTGTTTTCTCAAAAAATCACATGTTTAGCTTAAGGATGCAAATTCAAATTCTGATCAATAACAAGTCTCCAAACTTGTTTCTTATAAATAGAAGCACTATTTGTGAGCTAGGATACGAGCTTGAAGCCCATGAAACTCACTCAAACTCCCTCTAATCAGAAATTGTCTCAAAACACCATTGTTGTGCAAGTTCTGACTTTACATACCAAACTCCAAATCCCCTCATGTGTTCTTTGGCCTTTCACTTCCAAAAGATTCTAAACATCAAATACAAACCATCCAAAGTCCATTTTCTCAACTGTAACACCTCCGTCATCAAGTTCCATTTTCAAAAACAGGGGACTGCAACTTGACTTCTCCAGAGCTCCTCAGCCACTTTCAGCTCAAGCTAATCATTGCATTAGCTTCCTGGGACCTCAAGGAAGCTAACCTGATCCTTGCAGCACTTTGAATCAAGCTCATTTACATTTCATGATTTCTAGTTTTGAGGTATTTTTCTTGAACTTCTATCTCATTACTTAGGCATTGTTAGGCTTGCATTTGTGAAGATAAAATGTAGACCTCATTGCCACGAAGCTGTACATATCCATAGTTTGCATTTATATGGCTTGAGCTTAGAGAATTTTAGAGTTGAAGTTTCTGAAATTTTTAGGGTTCAAATTAGGGCTAGAGAAATTCTCATTTATCTTTGACTTTTAGCTTTAGTTATTTACATGGTTAGATTCGTGAGAAAGAATGCAACAACTTTCATTTTGTCATCTTCCAATTTTGTTGAGAAATGAAGAAGTTACAGGTACACCGGCTGGAGGTTGAAGATGAAGTTATCAGGACTTGATTTGCCTTACATATTTATTTTTTTGTTTACATAAAAGGATGTATAGCCACCCAAGTGGTAAAGCGCGCGCCTGTTAACTTATGGGACCTGGGTTCGAGCCCCAGTGGTACCCTTTTCATTTTTCATATTTTTCACTTTTTTGATTGTTTTGTTTTTGCAGGCGCGGGGCTCTTTGGGCCTGGCTTATTTTTTTTACTAACTAACCCCCTATTTCACTTATACGCCCCTGGTCCAGTTTGTTTTTTTTTTTTTTCATTTTATTTTCTTAAATATTTTTCCTAATGTTAAAAAAAATCATAAAAAATATATAAAAAATTTATATTTTCATTTTAATTTAGTTTATTTTATTTTTCTCACAAAAAATATTTTATTTAGCTATACTTTATTTATTCTTACTAACTAGTCTTGTAAATTTAATTTAAAACTAGGTAATTCTTTATTTTCTTTTACACTAATTAAAATATATTTATTTTAATATAAAAAAAAAAGCCAAAAATATTTTACAACACCATATATTATTTTCAAGACAAAAATACAAAAATACTTTTCTTACAAACTTATTTTCTTTTAATCAATTAATAGATTTAGAGTTTTATTTAAAATCTTTTCTTATTAAATTTAGGTTTAATTAATTATTTTCTTTTAATTAATTTGGTTAAAACAAATCCCTTTTCTCTAAAAAATCCAAATAAAAATATTCATTTTCTTCATATTTACATTCTTGCATATTTATCCATCTTGTACATTATTTATTTCAAGTCTTATCCAAATTCAATTTGGTTGTAATAGATTAATTAGGTTTATATTCTTGCAATCGTCATTCACAATTTGTATACCCCCCTCCCACAAGTATTGTAATAGCATAGTAACTTTAAATTCCATAATTTATCGCTTTATATACAAATGCTAGTAATTAGGGTTTGTATGGAAAGACTAAAACCAATACTTAGAAAACCCTAATTCAAGACAAAACCAAGCATGAAAACAATACACTTGCACACAAGCACTCCTAAGTTTATCTCACTTGGTTGCCTTATACAAAATGACCATATTACGCATGTAAGGTATCTTAGCCTAAACAAGCAAATACAAGATCATAGTCCCTCGATGACGCTATCTAAGTTGCCTTTCAAAATGATCTTAGTCCCTAAAGAAAAATTCTAAGATACCTTGCAACATTGCTAATCATGGACATACGATGACCCGCGCCCGTCCCGTTTACATCCAAAGATAGGTTTGCTTACCAAATCAATGGCAAAACAACAATGTCAAAGGAAAATAAAAATGAACAAGAATGACATTTGAGTAGGTAGATTGCTCTTAATTACTTGCTCCATATCAAAACAAACATCCTTGATATTTTCAAAACAATCACATACACTTCCAAACATCTGACAAAATTGAAAACATTTTCAAAAGATCAAACATCTTTGTATACATTCTTATGAACGAGAATCATTACAAAGATTGCCTAAACAATGGCCTCTTTACAAAATACTTTCAGAAAACCACACAAAGCATAATTCCAAACAAAAAGCAAGTGATCTAGCAAGTAACTAAGAGCCCATGGAAAACCATGGATGAAAGGGGTGCTAATACCTTCCCTTTTCATAATCTACTCCCCAAACTCAAGAAACAATATCAAAGGTATTTCCTGTGCTTTTTCACCTTTCCTTTTGGATAAAAGAAAAGTCGGTGGCGACTCTTGCTAACCGCAACATTTGCAATCAAACGTAAAGCACCCAAGTCAGTTCTCCCACCGTATCACACTTTCACATAGCTCATCCATCATCTTATTATTAAAACTTGAGCCATTATCAGTAATGATCTTACTCGGGATACCATACCAGAAAATGATTTTACTCTTGATGTACTTGAAGATAACTTGCTTGGTCAATTTAGCATAAGATGCTTCTTCAACCCATTTGGTGAAGTAATCAATAGCCACTAGATAAAATGATGTATCTTTGAATCTTTGGGCTCAATCATGCCAATCATGTCAATTCCCCACATAGAGAAATGCCATGGAGATGAAATAACATTGAGTAACTTTGGAGGCACATGAATCTTATCTGTGTAAACCTGACATTTATGCCACCTCTTCACAAATTTATAATAGTCAGATTCCATTGTTAGCTAATAGTAACCTACCATAAACATCCTTTTAGCCATAGAACGTCCATTAGCATGAGTACTAAAGGACCCTTCGTGAACTTCTTGCATCAACATGCATGCTTTGTGTCTATCCACACATTTGAGCAAGACCATGTCAAAGTTTCTCTTGTACAACACATCTTCATGAGGAAGAAATTGTCATCTAATCTTCTCAAAGTCTTCTTATCTTTGTTGGATGCCCCTGGTGGGTGTTGTACCCCAATTTTTGCCCCTAAGATCCCTCGTCATACTTTTTACATTTCGCACATAGCATTGGTCTCATGGTTATAAGATCGGGGCACTTTGGCATTAGGGTTTCTCTCTATGAATTGAGTTTGCTATCTTACTCAAAATTGATTCAACTGGCGCTCTCATTTTTCTTGGCATGAGATTAGGGTTTTGGATCTCAAGCAGCATAGATGTCTTCGAATTTTATCAAGTTTAGATATGTACCATTAGGTAAGCTATGGGTTAGGAGCTCATTCTGCTCATTTCATCAAATGGAGGTTGGTCGCTTCAATTGCAATGTGACTAGAATATGTGGATTTAATTGAGATTGAGGTACATAACCTTCATTAGGTCATCTGACGCATCGTACATTATTAGTCAATAAATTCAGCATGGAATCGAAGATTTCAAGGAATCAGGGTTATTGTGGGTTCCTTTCTTCATCGAATGTTCATCCAGAGCAAAGGGGATTAGGATTTTCATTTGTGGTGTTTAATGCTTCATCAAGATTTCAATTGAGGTTTTCTTGAAGTAGAGTTGGTTCTAAAGCTATTTTGAGTTTCTCTCCTTCAAGATTTCAAACGTGATTTTCATCTGAGATTCCCTTCCAATTACATGATATAATCAAGCGGTCTTCTAAAGGATTTGTAGTAGAACTTTCCTTGTTGAATTGGAATCAAGATATCTTCTTCTATGTGTATGATCATTAATTTGTCAAGAGGAGAGTTAAGGCTTTTACCGGTTCTTTTCCATCAAAGAAGACTCATAATTGCTTGAATCCTAAGGCAGTCATCACTTTATTATGCTTATCATCTTCGCGGGAGTTAGGGTTTCAATCATTGCTTGAAGTGTAAGTTATTGAAGGGATCTTGAAATATTCATGGCTTAATCCAAAGGAAGATACAAGTGAATCTACATCACCAATTAGGATTTTTTTAGACAGTTAGTGCAACACAACTCATCTAAATAAGTGGCCTACTTATGATACAAGCTATATCTTTTACAGACTTGATTCAATTATCTCAAGTGGAAGCTCAAAGTTTCATGGATAAATATGCGTGCAAGGCATTTCATTCGGGTCATTTAGGCGCGACGATACATTTCACTGGTGGAGGTAAAGGGAAGTGGCATGGCAAATATTGTGAAGAGTATATGGAATCAATATTTTCAAGTGATCTTATTCAGGTTACATTACATTGCGTTCGATCTCAAGTCATACTCCAAACTATTCCATATACATAACACCGTTTCTATTACATCACGTACTACATCAAGATTCAATCTCCAAACATTACACCCATCATTCTAATACACCATACTATGTTTCATTACCATAAAGTACATCGCATAGGAAATGAGAATTACATCAAATACATCCAAAATCTAGACTTCATCTTTCATCCTTAAAACGAAGAGTCTCATCATAACCGCCATTTTCACCTTGATTTTGTTGTTACTTTGCACTTCACCTATTTCGAGCCATCTCAACATTGCTAATATTCGGGCTGCTGCTACAGATGTCCACCGAACATAACCTGCCACATCAATGTCTATATCAGTTCCAACAACACAATTTAACATGCACAAATGCAAAAAGTTTGTGGCAGGGCTGAAGGCTAATACACTACAGCACATGTCATCACAATGTCACTCCCAACCCAAGACACATTCCATAAGCTAAGCACCATACAGTTCAAGTTTAACCAGAACATATCCATCTTATATGGCCAAATACGTACAGCATATACAATACAAAAACACATTAAAACTTGCCATTTACAAAACAGAAAAAACTGACAAAGCCTATAACAAATTCCAAACAGTTTTTAACAGCCCTGTAACCATCTCCTAACAGCCCTGTAACCATTTCCTAACAGCCCTGTAACCATCTCCTAATAGCCCTGTAACCATCTCCTAACAACCTATAACCTCCATTACAGAATACTCTAACAGAATTTCTAACCTACCATTAACCACCTCTAACTAACTTAACCGTTTCTCACCCTCTAAACAAACTGAGCATAACAGAATTTAACAGATATAACTAACCTCTCATCTTACCCTTCATTTTGCAACCAAATTCCTCAATTCAAAGGCTAAGATTCCTCCACTCCTAACTAAATTTCATCCTCTCAAATCTATATAACTATTCATCACCCTATGGATAAGACTCTCTTCATTCTTCAAATCACTCTCTCTCTCTCTCTCTCTCTCTAAAATCATAATGGACCTTCCTCATTCTCGAATTTCTGGAGGAATCACCAAGAACGTCAACAAATTCTCTCTGCTCTCTCTCTCTCTACACAATTCTTTAATCTTGCATCATCATCTTCATTCCCCTTATGCAAATAACAAATCTCCATAACCATAAACTTCGATTTTCATCATCCTTTTCAAACCTTCAACCACAACCCCTTACCGATCCTGCAATATCACATCACAAAACAGTTAACTCAATACATAATTTCTCAACAAAATCCTAACAACCATAACAGACCTAACTAACTTCCCTCTTAACTGTCAATACAGAAATAACAAAACAGATTTTCAACAAACTCTAACAGAATTTTTAGAGCTCCTAACTAACTGTAACCAACTTCCCAACCTTCCTAACTAACTAGCAGAACTTCTAACTAATTCATAACTGTTTTTTATAACCAATTACTAACAGAATAGACATCGCTAACAAACTTTTTTTAAGATAAAATCATGTAACAGAAAAGAGGGGAGGGGGTTCAAAATTCACATGGACAATACAAAAAGCCAGAGAGGATCTCAGATCTGGAAAAAAAAAAGGAGGATTCATAACAGGAAAAAAAGTTCACAGAACTCTCACCTTGGAAGCTCTCTGAATTTTTTGGAAGAACATTCATCTTCATCATCAACCTTCAAGAATCCTTCATCTTCTCAGAGATTCAACAAAAATATTCAATCTTCATCTCCTTCAACTTCTCTGCATCCATCCTCGCATCACTCTCCTTCACGACACATCAACATTATTGCGGCTTCGATAACGCGCACATCTTCTACAACTGCATCTTAACTTCCACATATGCATGACGTTCCATTCCATATCCTTCAACCTAATCAACAACAAATCTGCAACCACCGCATTGACAAAAACTGGAACATCACAAACAGAAACAAATTGAATCAGAACAGTGGGAAAATGCAAGAAGTACAGTAGAAGGAGGATCGAAATCGAAGAGGAGAGAACTAAATAATAGAATTACCTCTGATTTTCTGGATTCCACCATAGCTTCGAACGAAGCGTCTCTGAGTGGTAAAATTCTTTACTCATCCTTCAGTAATTTCTCTTTGGGGATCATCGTTGAATTCGCGGTGGAGACGTTACCAAAACAGGATCAGAGATGGAACAGAGGTGAGAACGAAGAGGAGAAACGGGCGGTAGCGAAGGTGTCGTTCATGACATTGTGATTGCTGAAATCACAAAGAAGAAGACGGTGGAGAGAATCCGTACGGTGCCGCTGCGTATCATGAGTAAGGAAATCGTGTTTAATAATTGTGATGTTTTTAATAATTGAAGCTTAATAATAGAAAATGATGTTGGATGATAATTGTGATGATTTGGTAATGCACCGGACCATACTCCTTCTGAAGCCCAACGTGGATATTTTTGGTGTAAGCTAAATTGTAACTAAAAACTCTCTATTGGACCTTTCCGCATGGATCTAGCATCTTCTCTACTTACCTTACCCCCTGGATCTCTCTTAGTCTTCTTTTCATCACCTTTTAGTTTTTACTTTTTTTTTATAATTTTGTAATAGAAATACATGATAAAACAATAAAAAGATGTTAATATAACGCTTTGGAATTTCCCTTTAGAATTTTAATTAGAGTTTTATTATCATTTTTTATGTTTGCTAATCATTTGGTTATCATTGTTGTTGAGCATTTATGACAGTATTGAGGCAATCTTTTGTGATATGGAATGCCAGGAGATTAATTCGTTTGATCATTTCTGCGAAGCAGCTTTTGTAGAGTTTTCTTATCACTTGCATGGTTTTGAATAGGCAATGGACCTACTCCGTTAGCATGCGCGAAGTATTTCTGGTTTCTTTGCTTTGGTTGCGCTTTTTGCGGACGTTATTGTCCGTTCAGTATTATTTTGCTTCCAAATTATATTTCTGCATTTTATTGCTTTCTAGATATCATGAGAAGTAGGAAATAAAGAGCGTGTGCTCGAAGTCGTTGTTTAAAGACTTGTAGCAGGCATTCTGCACTTCATTTCTGTTATGTGTTGTGCTTGTGGTTGCTTCCTTTCTTATTGATTGATGAGTCACTCAATTTAGAAATTGAGATCACGACTTTGCTCTCAGTGCATGCTCCCTATAGGATTTTATCGCTTTCCTTTATTTCTTGTTGATCGATGAGTCACTCAATTTAGAAATTGAGATCACGACTTTGCTCTCAGTGCATGTTCCCTACAGGATAGTTTTTTAGACTTTCTTTGGAATTCTAACTTAGATAGGATCCCTCATTGTATGATAATATTAGGTTAGAGATAGGTTAGTCTCCCTTAGATGTTCTCTTCCCGTTTTTGCATAATTGTATTTAAAACTAAAACTTCTTTTTTCTTGGCAAATATATAAGAAATGCTAATCATACAAAAATTATTTTCATGGTAAAAAAAATACCAACCAATCCATTTCTTTTCGCCATTAGGCTTTTCTCTTCTAAGAGTATGTTAGCTCCTTTCAACTACATGTCATAAGTCTCCAAAGGTCGAGCAGCGGTGGAATGATCAAATGCAACATTGTTCATTTAAAAAATACAAACAAACAAAATATATGAGCCGAACTACGGTAGCTCTGATTCCTCAAAAAGGATACGTAGGCATTGGGGTAGGGCCCAAGCGAGTACAACTTTATTTTCCCTACATTTTTTCTCTTTTCTTTGCATGCATTCTCTCTTAGTTTATAACCCATAAGCATTATATTAAACACACCCTTTGATTAGAATAACGAGAGTGGATCCCGTAGATTACTATGGACGTGTGGGGTGCTAATACCTTTCCCTCACATAATCGACTCCCTTACCCAATCTCTCGGTCGCAAGACCTTTATTTCCCCTTTAGCTTTTTCTTCGATGATTTTCCTTTCCCTTTCATATGGGATAAATAAATACTCGGTGGCGACTTCATTGATTTTACCGCTACAGAAAAATGGCGACTTCACTGGGGAATATGTGTCACCAATTGCTGGTCCATCCTGTGAGTCAATCCTAGCTCCCGTTTTTTCTTTTTTTAGGGTGTTTATCATTATGCTTTTATGGATTATTCATTTGTATATGTTTGAGAATATGTTTGCATTGCATCTTTATTGTTATTTGTTATATTGTTGTTGTGCCTGTTTCTCTTTTTCTTTGTTGGGTGGGTGTTACTATGAGGTAAAAGGCCTAATACCCAGTGTAACGGTAGAAATGTTCAAGACTAAGTCATTGGATTGACTAGACTTTATACAAATCAAAATAAAAATTGCCACCGCGCTTTATTATTTCCAAAGGAATGGGAAAAGAACGAATAAGCCAAAAAAAAGGGGGAAAGATTCAAGGTAAGGGGGTTGGTTATGCAAAGGGAAGGTATTAGCACCCTAAACATCTACGGTACTCCGCAGGAACCTCTTTGAAAAATCTATATATTTTGGCTATAAAAATGTGTTGTATATAAAATTGATGGTGGAGGTGAGAAAAGAAATATTTTTATGATTTTTGCATCCGTCGCGGTTGCGAACCTTTAGTGCCTACGTACCACCTTTCGTGCAATAGGGGATCAGGGTACACGTAGTTCCTATTTTAAAAATTTGAAACACAAGTGTGTTGGTTAATTTTATGAGATAAGACATCATTGTCATTGTCCGTGTGGAAAACATACTTACTACCCACAATCATGGGAAAGGACAATTTGCATCATCTCAAAGTGGAGGATATGGATTGGATTTTAAAATCAACAATGCCTCACTCAACACCCAAGTGGAAAATATCTCTCTTTACTACATACTGTAGAAGTATAGTTGTTTGCATCACTACAAGGATTGACAAGAGTCTAATCTTTTAAGAAAAGTTTTAAAATAAAAACCAAAGTGGCAAAATGGTTTGAAATGAGATTGATTGACTTTTAGTCTTCTCACAAAAATGTCAAGGTATTATTAAATTGATTGAAATTTATTTATGAAAATGTTTTGAAAATGCATGGACCTAAGTCCAAGTTTATTATGAAAGTGTTTCAAGTTTAGAAATAAGAATAGTTTTTTAAAAGAGGGAGAAGATTTTTGAAATTAAAGAAGATGGAAGGAGATGAAGAGACTATCCTAAAGCATAAGGTAAAAGCTAGCGATAAGAACCATCTAACCAAGAAGAAGCCAATACTTGACATTATGAGTCAATATTTAATTCCCATTCTTCATATTGAAACCAAGCAAGCAAAGATACTAGACCTCTTGAGAGAACCAAACTTCAAGTGTTTTAAGTCTTCGCAAAAATTGGGCAGAGTAACGGCTGTATACGGGTGAATTCCATATTACAACCAAAGTATGTAATCACAATAACCTGCACACAAAACAAACAAACAACCTAATGTCTTGAGGTAAACCTCAAGAACTCCAGATAAAATATCAAATAAAGTCACAAAGTCTCCAAGATAGGTCAAGGTCTCTAATCCTAAGTTCAAGAAGTCCAATACTCCATAATGCCAAGGATAGTAACCAAATAGTCCAAGTGTCATTAAAGATTTTTACGGTTCATGTTGATTATTAGGTGTCTTTAAAAGAAAAGAAAACCTCAAGTGAGCAAAATAAAAATGACATAAAAGTAAATTCTCAAGTGAGCAAAATAAAAATGGCATAAGAATAAATGCTCAAGTGAGCAAAATAAAAAATGGCATGAAATGTAAATGCTTAAATTAAATGGTACATAAAGCATAAAAAATAAAAGCATAAAGTAAAGTCAATTTTTAGAAATTAGTGGTTAGTTTGATGACCATCTTTAAACTTTCATTTGGAACTCATTAGAGGATTGGTAGAACCAAAGCCTCCAGACAATAAGTTGCATTTGCTTTTTGTCAAGTATATCATCCATTTTGGAATCCTCAAAAGTAACATTTAATGATCAACGGTGTTTAAGTGATCCGCGTTGACCAAAGGTGTTGTAGATCCATTAGAGGATTGGTAGAACCAAATCCTCCACACAATGAATCTTAAGGTTATTGGATCAAAGAGATCAAATTAACATACTTGGGCTTGCAATCATAAGTTTGGGCCACGAATGATCATTTATTCGAATCGGGATAACATTTAGCGCTATGTTAAGCAATCGTAAGTGGACTTATGTAGAAGTCGCACCTATTTTGAGGTCGGTCAATAGCAATCTATGTACTTCATGTTTGGATAAATGATATAGAGATCACCATCCCTTAACATGTAGCACAATTAAAAAAGAAAGGAATAAGATGAAGAGGGAGGGGAATGATAAGCTAATTTGGATCACCATCTCAAAATTCTTTCATCTTTAAATTCAACCACTCCTCTAGATGGATTAAAGCACTAAACATATCATTAATCCAAAGCACCAAAAATGAATTAAATAATTCACTCTTAGGTAGATTTGAATTGATGAACATTTATCCAACTTCATCTACATCACAAAGTCCATTGAGTTTAAAGACAAATTGGATATTTAAAATTGCAATCCAAACCAACAATCAAAGGAGTGAGTAGAAAAAGCATTTTGGATCAAAGCTGCCCCAAAACAAGGCAAAAAATACATGCATTTTGTCCCTGTGTAAATCGATTGCACTACTGTGTAAATCGATTTACACAGTACATTTTTCAAAAATTTGTGCAAAATTGCTTATGTGCAATCGATTGCGCAGTTACTGCAATCGATTGCACACTGTTACAGGCAGCAAAACAGCATTTTAAAAGGCCAAATTCTTGTTCAAACATTCCATCAAACACCTTATGATCATGGATTCAATTGAGCACGAAAATTCCATTAAATCATGAGAAAATAACACCATTGGAATCACAAAATAATGCTTAATGAATCAATCCCAAAGATACACAAGAGATCACATTGTGAAAGATGAATTATCCAACTTACCAAAGGTAGATCTACAGAATTATCAAAACAACTTCAAGAATTTGCTTCAATTCAACCACAAGAATCAATTGCCAAGCTTGGATGTAGAGATTTGATGAAGAAAAAGTGTTTGGATGAAGGTTTAGCTCAAAGATTAGTAAGCTTCAATGCAAAGCTTACTAACTTTTTGAAAATGGAGCTTTG